CGATATCGTCGCCGCAAGGGCGAATCAGACGCCGATCATCTGGTGGCCTTGCAACGAAACTACGAGAATCTCTGCGGACTGACGGACGCCGCAGGTGCCGCTGTGAAGTCGTATTGGTTCATAGCCAAAGTTCAGGTGGGATGCAAGTATCTGCATTTCTACCTCGATCTTTCCGAGAAGAACAGAGGACGTGTCTACTCCTCAGATGCCTACGGTGTGAGTAGGCCGTATGCCGACGACTTCATCGCTTTCTTGGAGAGATTCTTCGCGGACTTCAATCAATTCCATCGATTGAACGGAGATATCATCGAGAAAAAAGAGCTTCCGATCCCGAGTGAGCCGGAGGAAATCATCACCGAAGATGCCTGCACCAACGTTCCCCTTGCGGAAGCGTCGATTCCGGAGCCATCGGAACCAGATCTCGGACCGGCTCCGGCGAGAGGTTTGCGCATCGTCTTCAAGGAGTTCGTGGATCCGGAAGAGGAGGAGTTTTTGCGCGAGTTGGAAGAATGTGACAATCCCAACATAGATGACATGTTGGCCTCAGACGATGAGGACGATCAATACGCAGATGAGGAATAGAATACTCACGCTCTTAGCCCCAGCGTGATGGCCGCATTGTTCATCAAATCAACTCAAATTCAATAAATCAAACTTTGTGAGAGAAAAAAAACGGAGGCTTAATTCTTTGGGGGCATTTCAGCGGGTAGGGTTCAGAGCCCCTCTGAATCTTGAAAGCCGGAATTCGCTAGTGGATGGGCAGACGCAAGCTCGGCAGCGGGCTTCCGAGTATCTCGAATAGCACTCGTTCCGGAGGCTTGAGTGGAATCTGTCTTCTTCCAGCATTTTCTCTCAGGCTTCACCTTTCACACCTTTCGCTCAGCCACATCAGTCGGGCCTTCTCGAAAATAGACAGTTTCTCTCCCAGACGGCGGGTCGTCATGATCCCATGTTGGTACCGACGGGAGAGATGGAACCGGATGCTCCCCCTATTAGGCTGCATCGAATTTCGAATTCATCGAGAGTCTCCTCGATTTGAGTCTCGCGACGTCGAGTGCCTGTCTCGGTCTCGATGTACTTGCGAATTCCAGATTCGATGCTGCCTTGGTCAATGAATGTGGCGCACATACGCGCCTCCCCTTCCATTCTTGCTCGGTCACGAGTCACGAGCCTCATCGAGCCAAATCTCCATGTCTGCTTCGACTCCCCTGTCGTGGATGTATCCGGCTATACTCGACGCGATACCTCTCCGCTGGGGGATGCGAAGACAGCATCTGTGACCGAGCATGTCAGCGAATGCTGTTCTTTCTGCTCTCAACTTCCGGAGCATAACCTAGGAGGATGGTCAAGCTCTAATTAGTGACTGCTTGCGCGAGAAATCCTCGCTGACTCAAATGGAAGAAACGCACCTGCAGAGCGCAGTCGGCATTGTACAAGTTGAGATTGCGCAGAGAAAGCCGATTGCTGCATTGCTCCACGCGCGAGAGGGCGCCGACAATCTCTTTGATCTGAAGCATGTCCGCGCAAGAGAGGTTGAAGGCGGGCACGAGTAATTCTCTCACGGAGTCTTCGAAAGTCAGGAGATTCCGAAGCATACGCAGGGAACTATTCCACCGCGTTTTTACGTCCAACACCAGCTTGACTTTCCTCGTGTTCCCGCCGTCCTCAGCCGTCGACTTCAGACGATCGTTCAGCTTCGAACTTTTTTGGAACTGTCGTACTAGCTCTTGGATCCTGTTCAACAGACACGCCGCCGATTCCAACGTCGGCGTCCTTTGGGAGTCATCCACATCGAGCGAATCTTGCACGTCCTCGTTCTGAGAGGAATCTGAATGGAGATTCCAGCTTTTTTCCATCTCAGAATCAAAATCATTGGGTACAAACGATATATGTATTCCGAGAGACATACCGCTGGTCTCTTCGGACTCGCTTCCATTTTGTGGACTCAGCGAATTTTCATTTCCGTGGAGAACTGGGTGAAGAAGCGAAGAGCTCAAGAGATCTCCCACGGTTATGAAACCATCGGCATGTGGTCAGTATTTGAGAAATTCCTTACCATTAATCGCTTCGAGGTCGCTCCGATCGTTTTCGAATGAGTTCAATGACCTTGATGGACGTTCCGCCTGTGCCTCCTCCTCTCCACTACTCCCACTGTCACTTCCTGCATCACCCGGTGGTGTAAGCCATACGGACCTCCTCATTGTATCCAAGACAGCGAGGTGAAGCCCATGGCAAAGACACAATTGGTGGTAAAACGGTTTCGGAGCCGCGGCTCTCTCCAAATTCTTTCCCATCTTGATCATTACGGAGGCGGCATCACTGGACATTCCGCTAATGTCCGAGGGCTCAAGAGCTCTGACTGCTAGCGATTCACAAAGAACTTCCTCCAAGTATTCGGCCGTTGCGGTATCGGTGAACCTTGACGGGAGGTGAACCGATTTGCCTTCGATGCTCGGAATCTCACGAGAACAGTGCAATGTGATGCCTGATTGATTCATTGGACTATGAGAATATAAAAAAAAGTCGCTTAGCTCTTAATTGGAGCTTCCCGGCAAATTCGAGTGACTTCCCGAGGGAGCCTGAGAGATTCTACATCTATCCATTCATTGAGCGTCTAAACATTCCAACCTGCCGCGGGAAAGCCGCGCATCGAGAGGTGATCCTGCATTCCCGTGAGAATGGCATTCTGATATCGGCGCCGTCACGAACTTCATTTAGACGAATTTCGATAATCCGAGAAATGCGAGTGAATCCAAGATTGATATTTCGTTTTTCGCGAACAGAGCCACGCAGCGCAGATCTCAAACACAGACTGTATGAAAATCCGATCGATAGAACTGAGAAGGGGCTGAGTGAGAACTTCTTCGCCAATTAAGCTGGGGGACGAGATTTCGGAATACGACCCACGAATTCCTGAGGGGTGGCGCGCTCGAAGTTCTCGCGTCTCGAGAGGACCCATGGGCTTAATTGATCGGAGGGGTGGCGGCGAAAGAATTCTCCTCACCCAAGTTCCGAAGCCGGATTCCGCATTGAAACACTCTCGAGTATCAGTATTTAAGAACAGTCTCGCAAACCCAGACTTCATTCGCTGTCCCGGTGCTCGAGATCTAAGGTCGTTTGCTCCAAGTCAACTCGGAGGTTCTACATAAAGTCGGTGTGCTACACAAAGGGTGTTCAGTTTGCGCAACTCTGCTGTCGTTGAAGCGTGCGCTCTGAGAACCTACTTTCTCCGGATGTTCTGTTCGAGGCTCCTGCTTCCGGGACCGACAGCAGGACAATAGAGTCTAGAGACCGACCTACGGCTCGACACGAAATTCAATTTCGACAATTCCTTGCCATTTGAGTTCTGCATTGCGGAACCGGAACGAATACACGTTCTATCAGTCATCGGAACCAGTGGCCGACCAGGAAGTTACGACGAAAGCGCATCGCTTCCTCTGGAGATCGTTCACAATCGTCATCAAGCTACGCCAATCCCAACCCTCCGAAGAAATGGCGATTTCGAAGAACATGGAGTCAGCACAGGGTCAAGCTCACGGTGCGGAACGAGCTCGGGATCTTGAGAGGAAACTCCGTGAAACCGTTGACGACTTCGTGAGGAGTCACGAAGCAGCAATTGTGGAAACCGGGATTCCTCTCGACGACGGGTCAATCCAGATGGCCCTGCGGTATCTGGCTCTGTTCCCTACGGAGGAAATAGACATCAATTCCTTCCCCGTGGAATACAAATTATTCCTGAACATCTACGGGGGCGTACGCCTCCCGCATTTCGAAGTGTGCGGATCCCGATATCGTCGCCGCAAGGGCGAATCAGACGCCGATCATCTGGTGGCCTTGCAACGAAACTACGAGAATCTCTGCGGACTGACGGACGCCGCAGGTGCCGCTGTGAAGTCGTATTGGTTCATAGCCAAAGTTCAGGTGGGATGCAAGTATCTGCATTTCTACCTCGATCTTTCCGAGGAGAACAGAGGACGTGTCTACT